GAAAAATATCTTTTATGTTTGAGAAAACATCCGCGACACAGGAATTAGTTCTTACGCCCGGTTTCTGAAACACTGATCATCGTAGAAATTAACTAATCAGCTGTCAAATGGCTTTTCAAATGTCAATTTTGTTGCCAAAAGGATTAAACTCTTTGAATTGATCATTCTGAATATTAGGAATATCATTCTGATTAATGATATTCTGATCAAAGAGTTTTTCATCCTTTTGGCAACTCAGATGACATTTAAAAAGCCATTTGACAGCTCATTTCGTTAAATTCTACGATGATCAGTGTTTCGGATGCCGGGCGTTAGAGTAACAGTAAAGTAAAAGTGTTTAAATTAAATATTTTATTTTAAAAAATAATACATTGTTGTTGTTCCACAAATCAACAATTTCCTCAGAGTTTATCTGTCGGCAGTCAAAGTAATAGCCGATTAATGCTCCAAATCTCCTTCGTACTGACTGACCTCCACTTCTCGAATTTACCAAATCCTAATATTTGCGTGTTAAACTCGTTCGATTATTTATCAGATCGTTTTTCTCTGTATAGTATTTTTTAAGTCATAATAATTTATTTAAACACACAGAAATAGAATGCCGGCATGCATCAATTTCTGAACGCGCTAAATAGCCTCAAGATGTCAACGACCTCTGGGTAACCTTGTTATGAATGAAACATTCACGGGAATAAAAAACATGTATTTTTTATGCAGGTACTGAGACATTGGGCAAATAAAAAAATTCACTCATTTGATTTCCTTAATTTCAATTTTGATTACCTTGGTTTTAATCCTTTATAATCGAGATTCAATTAATAAGAAACGCCGTGTAGTATTCGAAGTTTACTCGCATTCGTTTATTATTTTACAACGTAGTTTTTCAATGAATCACCATCAGATATTTTCATGACGTTCGGTTAGTTTTCAGCACAAAAGTTAATTATGTGCCGTGTTGAAGGGTTCCTTACATTTTAAGTTTTCAATAGTGTTTGGGAGGTCCCTCATTACATGGACACTACCTGTGCAAATGTGCAGAAAGTCGACGGATGCTGGTGGCTCGGGATCGTGCTTCTTAGCCTATGTTCAGCAGTGGTCTCAAACAGGCTAAAATGACGATGATGATTATAATAAGCGATTGCGAAATATATCGTAAATTCTATTATATAAAATTCTCGTGTCACGGTGTTTGTAATTGAACTCCTCCGAAACGGCTCGACCGATTTTCGTGAAATTTTGCGTGCATATCGGCCAGGGTGGAGAATCGGACGACATATATTTTCCATCCCCCTACATGTTAAGTGTGGTCCACCCCAAACATTTTTTTCTACCCTACAAATAATTTATATGGCAAAACAACGTTTGCCGGGTCAGCTAGTAATTTTATATATTTTGTATGTGATTAAGGACGAACGTCTTTTCCAGCTGTATGAAAGTCTGTGTAAACTTTTTAGAAATAAAAATATTACCACATAAGATCATTACCTACCATAGAAATCGTCTAATATATTAACATTTTGACACCTCCCAGATACATTTGTCTTTGAGTATGCACGAAAAAACGATTTTAGTTATACCCCATTGTGCGAGTAAAATTCAAACAATAATTATATTGCGAAAAGCATTGCGATGAGTCGTAAATTTACAAAACTAAATCGAATGAATTACATTCGGGAATTTCGTAACATTCGGGGATTCGAACCTGCATCAGGTAATGCGCCCAAACGCTCTAGCCATTGTGCTTAGCGACCAAAAAAAATTTACTTAATTAATTGTTAATACAGCGTTCAGTTCTTTAGTTATTAATAAAATTTATATACAGCGTGTCGTTACCATCGCGACAATAAATAAACACACACACACATATAGAGGATAACTTTTTAGGTTGTATTAAACATTTAAATTCTTTAAACATCAATATTTACAGAGTTATTAAATTTTCCAAAACAAAGAATTTTAGAACATCCTTACCTATAAAAGCGTAACGTAAAGTTCATTTGTAAAGGTCACAAAGCACATGAATGTGTAATACGACGCTGTGGCGCGAGTTGTATAGGATGTTACAAATTTTGTTTCTTTTTTACTTAATTAGTTTGTTTGAAATATATTTTTTTTAGTTATGGATTTTCTTAAACGTTAATATTTTTTATGGTTATTGGCAAGTAGCGTTAGACGTGTGTTCATTTATTGTCGTGATGGTAACGACACGCTGTATAAGTTAACCGGATGTAGTGTATCTGTATGTCTTAAAGTCAAACTCAACATTTCTTTCCACATTACTTGAATTTGTCTAGAAAACACGCCAAGATATTTTTTTCAATAGTTCTAATAACGTAATATTGGTACATAGTATCGTTTACCGAATCGATATATACTCCTTCAATTTGCATCACTTTATGAACAAATGCATCACGAAAATCCCCCACTCTCAACTAAACTGTGTCGTGTCAAGTTGCGAGTGCAACACTGCATGGCGTTTGGTCACCGTTCGGAGGTGGGTGTAATGCATGCTAATTGAATCGATACCGTCCCTACTTCGATGCGATACACGGTCATAAGGTCGCAACCCGCTAGGATGAATATGACGTTAGCATTAAGTGTTCCAAATCCTGTGAGAAGTGAAAATATAAAAAAAAAATTCCAAACCTGTAAGGACTTAATTGACTTAAGCTCGGTTTCTGAAACACTGATCATCGTAGAAGTCAACTAGTCAGCTGTCAAATGGCTTTTCAAATGTTATTAGAGTTGCCATACGGATTGTTAAACTCCTTGAATTGATCATTCTGATCATTGAGAAGATCGTTCTGTTCAATTCATAGAGTTTACATCCTTTTGGCAACAAAAATTAACTTTAAACTAGTTGACAGCTGATTAGTTAACATCTACAATGATCAGTGTTTCCGAAACCGGGCGTCAGACGTCCTAAGCCTCAGTCTGTCCCGTGACGCTGAAAATGGTCAGAAACGACAACGGAAATAATACTAAAAATAAACGCGATAAATCTGTAAACATTTTTTTTATGTGAAAAGTTGTCAAGCGAGCAGACGGTTCACCTGATGTTAAATGAATACCGCCGCCCATGGACATCTGCTACACCCAGATGTGTTGACAACCTTTTAAAAATGGGGCTTGACATAGTTTCATAACAAGAAATCATGAGGCTCTTTTGTTTTAAACCCATAAATATGAAATTGTTAAGCCCTACGTTATTACATCTCGAATTTGTCGCTTAAATCATTGGCACCCTACACAACGTGACTCGAGCCGGCTGTTTTGTGAGTTTAAAGTTTTATTGTTAAGGCCCATTTACACGATGCCATTTTCTTGTACATACAAGAGCAATAATTGAATGCAATAAATTGCGCGCAATAATTTGTTAGACCATTTGTTGTTTAGACCATGCAACTCATTTATTGCTTCAATTTAATTGTATACAACAGGCAAGAAACTTGCACCGTGTAAATGGGTCTTTATTGTAGTTTCGCTTGTTCCCGGCGACTAGGAATGGCTGTTTCGTGTTTATTGCAAGATGTCTCCTTCGCGCGTCGTCTGGAGAAGAACAACGATATGCAACAACTAACTGCTGCCCGCGACTACGTCTGCGAAGAATAATCTGGCTGAAGGCGTAACATTCAGACAGAAAGACAAATATACATAAAAATATGTATTTAAATTATAGCCTATTTGTTATTCTGATGTATAAGCTATATTATTGTAAAGTTTCATTAAAACCCATTCAGTAGCATTTGCGTGACAGGGTAACAAACATTCACCCGTACATACAAACTTTTGCTAATATTATATTAGTAATTATAGACTAGGTAGGGATTGGCCGATGCATGTGGACGTTCTATTTGAGCAACGTCGTCAATATAGAACCTACGTTGCTTCGAACATCACTTTAAAGTTCGTCCGTGCTCTTACCTTGTTATTTGCAAAGACATTGTTATTAGTAACTCTCCGATGAGTTCCTTAAATTCTCTTTTACTGAGTTTCTATAGCCCCGAGCCAGCTTCAGCTGTTGCAGGGACTTGAATGGGCAGGTTCGTCCAGAGAAGTACCACGGCCTCTAATATTTGTTGCATTTCGTGTGGGCAAAGGATTTGAAGGGAGTGTTGGGGATGTCTACTGCCCATAGACTATGCGGTAATAACTTAGCATCAGGTAGTCTACATGCTCGCGTGCCACTTTCACATATGAAAAATATTTCATTTTATAGGTAATGTTCATGTATACAACGGGTTCATTGATAATTGCGAAATTGGAGCCCATCCGTAATCGATGACTGTATTATGTCCTATATATATGGAAAGGTATGTGTAGGGCACACTGTCCAAGTATTTACATTGAGGTAATTAAAATTGTGATTCCTCCCATCGTCGCGATGTCATAGATTACTGATGACTGTAATGATTATATTAGGTGGATTAAAAAAAAAGTATGAAATAAAATAGTTCATTGTGCAATATAAGCTAAAAAATGTCTGATTAAATAAAAAAACATCTGTTATTTACCTTTTCTTTTTGTGATTGTATTAACGTCGACGGTGTTTTCTAATTGGATAATATATTTTAAGATAATGTGGTATAGTATAATGATCATTAAATCACACAGTATAATAATTTTCTGATGATGACATACCTGTCACACATATATGTATGTGCAAAGCCAACAACACACAGTGGCTCACCTTCAAATCCTTATCGGTTATGTTCATCTCCTCTACCGTAAAACGTGCTGCATAACTATCTCAAAGGCGAATTCGCCTTGTTTATAGAATTACATTATATCTTAGAAGGACACTGTGTTTGTTTGAAATGAGCATTTGAAGAAAGTACTGAATTGAGCAGGATAGATAGCAGTTACCCTTTTTTATAAGTGGAATAAATCATTTGATTTTATCGTGTTTTAGGGTTCAGTCCCTTGAAAGGCTCTCACTCTCTTGTCTATCTGGGCGTGTGATACCACCGATAATTTACTAAGTTTATAATGGCGGTATAATGGGTAGGTACGGAACTCACGGCGTACGAGTTCGACTCTCACTTGGCCGGTTTGGTATTTTTAGTGTTAGTCTTTTCATATAGTATGAAACTTAAAATTTGTAGATAAATGGTTCGAAAAAATTTGTTTCCGATGCCAGGATTCGAACCTGCGCCTTCCAGGCATGTATGGCGGTATCAGTTACTTTCACTGATTGGATAATAGAAAAAAAATTATATTTTTGTTTTATATTGCAAGTCAGGATAATATTTTCTTATTATCTTGATGTTGCAACATTTCATGAAAAATCAATTTTTAAAAAATTATTAAAAATATTCTCTCCAGGATTTTTTTAGGCAACCCAGTTTTAATATATTTTCTAATACTTTATTATAAAATAAATTAGTTAAGCTCGATCGGATCTTCTACTATTTTGACGTTTTTAGAGCGCTATATGAAAAAAAAAAGGCAATGGATCCGCCAAACGCGGAGCTGTCAACCTTGCCACGGGCGGTTTTTGTTCGCCATTTTGTTTATTTACAACGCGGCGCGCCGAAAATCTCCCGCGCATTTCAGGTTCAGGGGCGGCGCGGTGCGGCCGCGTGCCAACTCTCGTCACTTGACAAATGATTACGGACGAATGACGCTACTGCGGCCGATCGATGTAGCTAGTTCATCGGTCATATGGGCATCCGTTGAACAAGGTTACGTAAAAAATTTTGATGTCTTACAAACTTTGGTGAGACATTATTGACGGAATTAGGGCCACGCAAGTCTTCGCTGTTGAACGAAAGGGCAGGTCCGTCCGGGGAAGTACCGCGACCACACAAAAGACCGCCGTGGAGTTGATGAATGTTAAGCTTCTCGGTTTCGTCTGGTGAGTGAGGTAACCGGGGCGATATAAACCTACGGGTGTTACAAATGTCCATGGATGCCCGGTGTCAGGTGAGCCAGCTCGTTTGCCACCTTTTCGCATAAAAATAATACTAAATTATTAAATGGCTACTAAACTCACGACCAATTGGTGCATGTAGCGAGTAAATTCGGAATTATCGGAGATCCTTCATCGGGCTGCATACATTGGTTGGACATGAGTTTAGCCGTTTAATCATTTAATATTTAAAGCTGCCTAAGATAAAGAGAAAGGTCCAAATAACCAAAGCAATAGGTTGAGCAAACTCCAAAGTATTCAGCGACTATTTCTTATTGATTTATTATACATAGTTAGTTGTGTACGATTTGGGGGCGCAGTTTCTAAGCTATTGGCACACGGGACAAGTGTGCTTATCCTCAAGATGGGCTGGCGTCTGGCAGGCGGCCGGTTTTAAAGAAAATACCATTCACAGCATGGATATGGGATGTTGTGCCGACCCCACCTAGGTGTCCTGTCGACAGGAAAAAGAAAAATAAGAGTTATATAGGCCAAATCTACCATACCATAAGTTGGGTAACGGTGGTAGGGCCATGCAGCAACCTCGGCTGTTGCACGATTGGGCGGGCTCGTCCGGGTAAGTACCACGACCTCACAGAAGACAAGCGTAAAGTGGAAGTATAATACTTTCGTGTTTCGTCTGGTGTGTGAGGGGGTTGGAGGCCAATTTTCAAAAGGTTGTCATCGCATCTGGAACCCTCGGGTGTAGCAGATGTCCATGGGTGGCGGTATTCACTTAACATCAGGTGAACCGCCTGCTCGCTTGGCAACTTTTGACAAAAAAAATATCTAACCTATTGTCTGATAGGTAGTTAGTACACACCATTATTTATATGATGTCGCAAAACGGCACATCACACGGACAACAGTAAGGAATTCCTCCAACGGCCATATTTCCATGATTCATGTGTCGATAAGAAAAATGCGCATATAAAAATAATCTGACCAATTGCTTGATTGGTTATCACCTAAACGATAAAGTTGCAGATTTCACTTCAATATTTGATCAGAGCGCGTCGTTTCTGACTTACGAGTAAGCATCAAATCAGAACCGTTTCATAGTTATCAATTAATATTTTAAATCATTAACGATTTTAATGTTAATGTATGCGTGTGTTTCACACGGTACACTTTTAAATTATGATACTCTCCCATTGTTTTATGGAGTTCATGTTATTTTTTACATTTTAACAGACCGTTATGCACAGAACGTATGATTATTGTTTTCAATTACACTAATGCATCGACACTTCAATTTAGCAGCATTACCTTTATGATATTATTAAAACGAGTCAAAAATTGTTATTATACAGTACTATTTTCTTTTTGTTTCGACGAATTTTTACAAAACGTTATCTAGTCCCAACCCAAACTATGCAAAGCTTATAGCGTAAATGATGCTTATACTTAAATATACTTTTTCATACAAAAACATATTCAGGTATATAAACATAATAATAACAAGAAAAGCGCTATGCTTATCGCACAATATTTTTTCCAGTACTGGGAAGTAAACCGACACCTAATGGCCAAAGAGACAGGTACTCTATCCACTGGGCCACACGGGTCATCAATAAACATTAAATACCTAATGCTAGTCACTTATAAAACCCAACTTCTCTATATTGCGTTATTATCATGAAATCCGCCATCACTGGTATTATTTAAAAATATAATTCACGTGTCTTTTTTTTCCTTAGACATCAATTTGTTTACGTTATTATTTCTATTAAATTATTTTAACACTAAATAACTTTTAGGGTTCCGTACCCAAAGAGTAAAACGTGATCTTATTACTAAGACCTCGCTGTCTTTTTGTCTGTCTGTCCGTCCGTCTGTCACCAGGCTGTATCATCATGAACCGTGATAGTTAGACGACAAATTCTAAAAAAACGGAATAAAAAATATTATTGAGGCTCCCATACAAGACAAGTGGTTTTTTTACCGTTTTTATAGGTAATAGTACGGATTCTGCACTATAGTACGTTTACTGTATAGCGTAAAGTATAATATACATTTATGTCTGCACCACCTAATATGTTGACTGAAGCATTAAGTCACACAAAATATTTGTGTTGGTTAAAGTTAATTAAATAAATATAGGTCATTGCAATGTTAAATGATATTCACTGTTATTTTTCCATGTTATATTTGTTTAACAAAAGTTGTTTCCCCTTTCTCACGCTCGCGTCGTTGCGCCTTTATCACTTCCAGCGATAACAGCTGATAACAGCTGATAATGGCTGATAAGAGGCGTCATGATAAGGAGCTTGTTATTGTTTTGACGCCGCGCCGCCGTTGGCTGTTAATGCACTACGTACTATTTATTATATTGCACACTTTCGTAATGTTTGCCCGTGTGCTTTGTTTATAGCATATTATTTATTTGTTTATAACATTTATTTGTTTACGTATGTACTTATTGTTTCATTACAATGAATGAAACAGTGAAAGGCTGTTTCAGAAAGGCTTACAAAACGTTTCGCTTTTCGCCGAGACAGAGTTCAGTGTTATCTCCGTCGAAAGCAGTAGATACGAATTAAATTTATATATGTATTTATATATATTTAATAAACAAGGTCTAGGTTCGTGTCTCGACTGATGTGTCGCACACACCCAACATATAATTTTTCCATTTTAAACGATTTAAGGCCCGCCATGGCGTACACCCATAACTCTCGTGAAGCATCTTATATTTGCGATTGACGTCTAGAACTTTGGTCTCTCTCTTTTTGGATTGTGGCGCTCAAAGTTTCTGATCGAATTCGAAAACAATGTAAACGACTTTATTTATCCGTCACGTAGACTTTGTTACTTTAAATCCACTGTATTTTAAAAAGAATATTAACATTCGGTTCTCTCTACTTTCAGAGGCTACGAACAAAGAAACAAATAATAACCCGTCGCAAAACAAACGCCTTTATATTGAATGATACGTATCTCTACCCAAGCGGATGGCATTCTACGCGCTTTTAGGGACGTGTCTCGCGCTGCGTTTCGCGTCGCGTTGCGCGCTGCGTTTCTCGTCGCGTTTCGCGCTGCGTTTCGTTGAGCGTGTTCCCTTTCTTCGCGCGATCACGTGACCTTGGCGAACGCGAGCGGAGCGTCGCATGCGACGGCCGCCTCCGCGGCTCTTTCTCCTTCTGTTTACTTTGGCATTCGCTATCTGCGCACTCGAGTATAGCAAACCCGCCTCTGCTGACTGTTTACATGTTCATTCACGAGCGTCTGCGTGTGCGAGCCTGTGCGTACACATGCAAGGCGCCCGTGTGTGCGTTGCGCCTGCGCAAACCAGTCGACGGTCGGCGTAGCGAGCCCCTTTGTTTGTTGACAAGCCGCGCGGGCCAGTTTTGTTTGCGGGCGGACGCAGTGCTAGACGGACGTGTCGAGCGCGCTCCCGTGCTTTAAAGCGTCGCGAAGTTCGACGCGTCGTTTTCGTAGTCGCGATCGTTTCTGGCCTAATTCGCCGCTAGCGTTTATAAATAACGCCGTTTGCTATATTCGCTGAACGTTTACCAAGTTAACAGTGCTGTGTGATCACGTCAGCTTTGGCTGTGGATACACTGCGACGTCTAAAATTACGTCGCACCTCTGGCAAAGGGTAAGCTTTCATTTTTGTTCGTTGTAAAATGCATATATACATAAGAGCCTTATATAGCCGAGTATGGCTCGATTCTGCCACCATTTATATTCATTATCATGCTCTTGTACGTTTTGAAGTGTGCACGCGAGATATCTCAGAATAGCCTCCAATCGACCGTCGCGTTGTTTACAACACAATGGGACGGGACGCTTGTCGTTCGACAAAGGAAGCGGATAGTATGGTGAAAGTGTTGAGACGCAGCATCAAAAGATTAAACTTCCGCAACGGTTGCACGAGTGGCGCGTGTACAGTTATGATTTGGCTCGCAATACTTACGGTATCACGTATGGCCTGGGCCGAGAGCTAACGGGAAGCCTGCACTGTGGTACGCAAGACGGCGCGTTGCAAATCGACTTTTTGCGAGAACTTAACCCACTTTATGGTGACGCGCGTAACGTGCTTAGTGCGTCGTCCTTGCTTAGCAACGCTCTGTTGACAAGCGAGCCTCGATCGCGGCTTTGCGGTTAATTAGTGTTAGTTTACAATCGAAGGATAATAGAAATACAATAATAATGGCACTTCATTGTCTATAAATCGCTTTACACAGACCAGTGAGTTTGAATATAAACGGTTTTTAGTGATTTAGATAGTCAATAGTACAGGGCCGTCAGAAATAGAGCTCTCGTCAAGACTGACCGAGTTTGCAAATGTTGATTTGTCAGCGTACTTCTCAATGAAACGATAGAGAAATAATCTACGAGTTGACCATAAAAGATGATGTTTGAATGACATCAATTTTTATTTCATAATTGCGTTCTAATCGATTTCTCTACCGCAACTATTACAAACTGGTCATTTATTGTTGAATCAAATGAATATTTGCAATTCTCGTGTTAATATACAAAATAAAATTATGTCAACGTATCGTAACCGGATCAATATTGGCTTTGTGTTATATCAACGTATAATTGGATTTATTAGCTTCGCTGTAATTGGTTAAAATGCCTCGTATAAAATAAACGCGTCATTAAATAATATTTTATCTTGAGCATAACATTTAATTATCAAGGTAGCACACTGGCATTTTGTAGTTTAACAATTATAAAAATGTCCCTTCAGTCTGAAATGTTATAGTGTCAATTATTCTGCGTCGTTTCCAACAAATACCTTTTTTTTCTTTTTCAAGAGATTTAATTTGAATTATTTTCTGTTTTATCTCTAATCTATACTTGCACAATAGAATTATGTTGATCTGAAAAAGTTTATCGCGCTCCACAACGGACGCGAACAATCAACTTTTATTCCCATTTTAAAAAAAAAACTGCACCTCGCTGTCAGTTTAAAAGAAAGAGTCGAAATCGTAAACTATTCTCTCGCCCCTTTGTTTGGCTTCCTTGAATGAGTGCAAGAGATCTCCGATTGTCTTTCTGCGACTTTTGTTCTTTATAAGTTACATTTTATATTCTTACTACGTTCAGGTAGTGACAACCTCTATATCGCTATCCCACTGTTGGACAAAGACCTTCTCTAAACATAGGGTATTATGTTTTAGTCCGCCATACGGCCCCACTTTATATTGGCAGGTTACGAATATGGTCAGAATGTATTTATCTATTTTTCTTCCGGACGAAGTTCGTTTTTTTTTCCTCTCATATTTAAAACATTGCCATTACTTTAGAATAGCATTATCCTGCATTTTATGGACGTTTTACAAACATAAATTTTCCAAACAAATTTTTTTTTTTCAAAAGTAACGATCTCGTTCCGGCACCGAATTCGAACGAGTTAGAAACGAGAACCCAGTGCTAACACGGTCCGTGCCCCGGACGTGTAATTAATACAAGTATAATTTTTAACAAAAAAATATTTTAAAAAAAAATCGACTTCAATCAGAAAATTAAAAACATTGTTAATACCTATAACATTCAATTATGGCCCTCGATTTCTCTGGGATGCCATCATCAGATCCAGGTTTCTTTATCATGGTACCACCCTTGGGATATCTTTCCGACAATTTCCGACAAGAAGAGAACCATCAAAATCGGCTCATAAACGACGAAGTCATCCGCGAACACACAAAAAAAAATGAAAATGTATACGGATTAATTGAGGAACGGAAAAAGGAGAATCGGTTAAAAATCCCCGCAGGGTTACCCACTATGGCGTTTCATCCGATCCCTTGCCCGAAGCGCGCCCCGACGGCCGAGTGAAAGTTGATCGGTGACGCAACGTGGAATAGAACCTGGGTGAACGTGTTTCGAGACGGACTAGCGCTGGACTCCCAACAGCCGTCGACCTTCGGAGACTAGGTGCGAGCGTTGCAAGTGCTAAGCGTCGGTACTGCATAGTATAAAACAAAGTCGTCCCGCTGTCTGTCTGTCCGTGTATATGCTTAGATCTTTAAAACTACGCAACGGATCTTGATGCGTTATTTTACTAGATAGAGTGATTCAAGAGGAGAGACAGGTTCACTATCAACTATGCCAATCAGATCGTCGTTGTAAACAAAACGCAGGTTGAAAAACTCATTTGTCTTTGTGTGCAAAGTGTAGGACACAGTATACAAACATACTAATCGAACTTATTCGTACTAATACAGTCCGATTGGTGATTAAGTAATAAGTAATAAGTTAGACCTCTATATGTATACTATTTTTTATCTATACTTTTTGCTTCATACAAATGCCTCCCCATAGCTAACACACGCATGAGCACATGCGCGGTCCAACCCAAGCCCAACGCTGTAGGCCGTATCAAGCTCTTGGATTCTGGCTTGCCCAAGAGTTCTGCGTTCGGTGAAACTGACTGAACGCAAAAACACCAATTTTAAAGGGAACTTGATGCAAAGAAACAATTGTTTAAATCAAGTCTGTGTCCATTCTAAATCTATACGGCGGTGAGTCGCGAATTTCGCTCGCTCCGCGTCGATTCTTTTTTCGCGAGAACCGGTCCGCTCGGACGCATTTCGAGAAATCTCGTGCGCCGAATGCGCTCAGGGACCGCCAGGGCGCGGTGAAAGTCGCTCACGGAGTAAAGTGCTCACGGACTGAACTGCTCACGAAAGGAGCGTATCCTGTTCAGTGCTGATCTAATTTACTGAGCGTACAATTCTTTTCCCTTAAATTGATTTATTTTTCTTTTATTTTTCATATCGCCATAGTTTCTTTTTATGTACAGATTTTGTTTTTTTTTTATTTACTCTAGTGTGTATTATTTTATTTTTTTTATTTTTTGTTATGTGCGTCCTTTTTCGGTAAATAAATTTGTTTTCTTAGGTCTTCTTCCTTCTGTTTCTTTTTGTAAATTGACGACCCGATTAACGTAGTGGCCACTGCCTCTTGCGCGAGAGCCTGTGGGTTCGATTCCCGCTACTGGAAAAATATTGTGTGATGAACATAGTGTTTTTCAGTATCTGGATGTTTATATCTTTATAATATGTATTTATTTACAACAGAAAAGTATGTTTATTAGTTATCTGGCAATCATAGTACAATTGTTGTTTAGTTTGGGACTAGAAAACGTTGTGTAAAAATTTGTCCTGAAATATTTATTATTCATTAGACATAACTGATAATAATGTCCCAAGAGATGAGGAAAATCCGGTAAAGTAAGCTGAGGTACAACCCTTCACCATTTGTATCGCTTTGGCAAAGATATTGTTACTTTCCGAACGCAATCCGATTACTTGTTACGGAGAAGTTTAAAACAAAGCAGGGTGTGGTTGTTATATCGTCTGAATTTTAGAAAGACTAAAGTCAGAATAAAGAACAAGAAATAACTAAGATTGTAAGAATGTATGCACCAAAAAGGTCTCCGCTCAGTATATATAATAGTATTTTAAACTTCTAAGCCACGACTACACCAACCTTAAAATGGATTGTGCAGTTATTGATTGACCTTATCTGAATCAAGAAATTCATTGCCCCTGTCGCCTGATATCTGTGATGTTTATATTTCCCCTCAACTTCGTTTTACTCGCAAGGATGAGTGTGCAACGAATGTTAGCCGTTATAATCATATTGAATTTTTGTTTAAATTTGTCCTTTGACAAACGAATTGTTTCAAGACATAAAGACGCATATAGAGCTAAGGGCCGAGTTGGAGAGGTACTCTTATTAGAAGAATGAAAATAAAGAAGAAATAATATTATAGTTTAGGATTAATTGATATGAAGAATTGGAGCCAAGTCCTCGTAGATAGGAGGTCGAATTTGTGATGAGATCGGGAGTACGAGTTCTATTGAAACTTTTCTACTACCCGAGTTATGTGTTCATGTTGCCAAGACTCATGACTGGTCACGTTTAGGATGAAATGAGGCGAAACTCGGATAAAATTAACAACCTCGTAGTTAAAATTGGTAGAAAAAGTACTAAAAGATTGTCGCCGCTGTGGGAATTGAACCCAGGTCTTCGGCGTTCGCGGCCTGACGCTTTATCCACTAAGCTAAACGGCTGATTGAACCTCGTACACTGTTATTAAAACGTGAGAGCGTAAAAAAACTATTATTATTTTTTTTAATAATTTTGGTCCTTTCTCTATATTTCAATATCGCTAATAGACGTGTATGCACACAATCGCAATTTGACTTGAAATTGCAATAGAAATATAGTTGAATAGTGTTTTCACTAATTAATTCCCTACCCCTATGTTTCGCTATGACTAACTAATGAGCGGCTGCCCGATGCCTATTTGTCGATTTGTACGCGACAGTACACTCACAATTTGACCTTGGGTTTGCAATCGAGAAATAGTAGAAATGTGATGTTTCACAAATAATTTGGGCACCGCCTTCGCACTTTCCGACATGAAAGCCCCACTGCGC